ATGAAATGCAATTTTCATATAAAACTATTATTTAAACGATAAGAAAGTTTTCAGAAATATTTTTCTCAATAAGAAAATGACTTAATCTATGAATTTATGAATTTATAAATAAATTGATTGGTCTCAGGTGGTTAAACAAAATGTCAAATATTCCCGAAATGTACTGTATTGACAAAAAAGTTTTTATTTTATGAAATATCTATAAAATAGCTAAACTTGTATTGAATTGACACTTGAATAGCGCCCGAAGGCATCACCACTTATGACATAAACATTAACTACAGGTTCTCTTCGGATCACTTCCAACCAGTTTTTCACTATTAGTTTCGTTAAGACTTTCTTTGTTAACGAGAATTCAATTTATTTTGTTTTTATATATTATTGTCTAATTATAGTATTGAATAATAATAATTTTTAAATACACAAAATAATAAACAATTTGCTTTTTAAAAATCGTAGTATTATATACATTTTAGCAAAAATATGCTAAAATTAATGTTAAAAAACCGACGACTTATTGAATGAAATGCCAGTGAAACACATCCCGACATAAGTATTGCTATTTCACACCCTTTTCCGCTCAATATATTATATTAGCTATAATTCTTGAACAAATTCTTTTTTACTATTATTTATAACTCATTGTGTAAATAAGTTTATTAAAAATCGCATTTAATAAATGTGACATTGATTTGCAGCCAACACTGGATATGCATCAAACTATTCAATGAATTATGAAATTAAATCGTTTTGTATTCAATGTGTTCAACATTTTCGTCATTTTATTCCTGTTTAATGTAATTCATGGCAAGAAAAAGGGTAAGAATTATAACGAATATTATAATTCAAAATACATTTCAATTATATTTCTATCAAAACAAAGAGAGAATTTCTGACAGATATTATGAAAGCAGTGATTCTCGTGAAGAGACGGATGAGGAGGGAGGCGATGAAGAAGAGTCGGGATACTCACGGCCCAGACCTCCCCCTCAACCACAACATGGAGGTCGTGGTCGGGGACCTCCGGGCGGACTACCACCGGGACAGGCGAAGAAACAACAGAATAGGGAGACTGTAGTGTCATATGAGGGACCCTACATAGACCAGAGGCCCCCACAGGTATGTAAC